TCTTTTTTGTTCGGTTGTGTGCATGAGACTCGTTCCTTTGCCAAGTCATGCTGTTTTGGTCGGAAGAATCCCCATCTTCGATTAAACCCAAGCAGCTGAAGCTGGTGTAGAGCCCGTAGATGACCTTCGTGCACCGAAGAAGAGGCACCACCAAATGCTACAACCTTCTTTTCAACCATTTCTTGAAATGTGGCTATTAAGTTGGAGGCCATCGCTTCTAGGTTGGAGGCCATCGCTACTAGGATGTGTATGTGTGTGTGTGTGTTTTCTCTTTATCTCTTTGTCTTTTCTCTTTTTGTTTTTGGAGGCCATTCCTAATAGGTTGGCTAGGTTGGAGCCCAACATGCGCCTGCCAAGCACGGCCACCTGTCACCACCAAGGGACACTCTGACATGCCGAGCTCACCAATGCTGGTACATAGGCCTCTGGACTGCAGACGCAGCGGCAGGCGATGAACCAGCCCCACCTCGCGTCGACAGGTGCGAGTCGAGTGATGCGTCGAGTGTGCGCCGCGTGCGGTCGAGGTCTATGAGTTGCGGCCAAGGGGCAAGTTCAAAACCTCGAAGCCGAGGAATGCATGGAATTGCTACTAGGAGCAAGGGGCATCGCTACTAGGAGCAAAGGGCATCGCTACTAGGAGCAAGAAGCCACTAGGGCTCACCTTCCGGCTCTAAGAAATGCAAAGAAAGCTCAAAGAACCATGATCCATCAATAAATCCCTTTTGATCTATTCCTCCGTACAAGTGAAGGGAGAAAATCCACTCAGCTTTGCCCATTCATGCCCAGACGCGCGCAAATAGACATGAAGGAAGGAGACACCCTTGAACTTCTTCTGCAAAACCATGAAGCCCGTCTCCACAAGTTGCAGTTGCCGACCTCACAGCCGGGCACAACAGCTGCGGTGCATCTAAGACTGGTGGTCAGCGAGTCGCTTATATTCTGGACAAAAAGCGTGTTGCCTTTATTCTTGTTTCTAATAGCTACTAATAGCTACTTGTTACTACTAGTAAGGCACCTGTTCCTAGTAGCGATGCACTTGTTACTAGTAGCTTTATGGAAGTGTGTTACAAATATTGTATGATGCGATAATCCGTCCGCCGTATTGCGGCAATCCTTTGCTGTATCCAAGGAGCAGTGGTACTGCAGCCACATGAGCCAGCCCAGTGAATAACTCTGTGGAGAGTTGTCAAAGTCATTGCCCCAAATGCGAAAGCCTTGTGACTGACCCTCATAGACCAGCATCACAAAGCCTGTGCCAAGCGACGGGCGAGGCGGCGAACAGCTCCTTTAGATCCGTATCAGAAAGAAAGGGCACAGCTCTCAATGTCAGAGTGCGGCTAGGTCACAGTACAAGTTATAACAACATTGCGTCACATTGTGCACTGCCAACCACTCGAAGATGAAGCTCTTCACTGGCAGGTGCCGCCTAAGTCAGAAAAATCGCAGAAATCCCAGTTTCCTGAGATTCACATCTTGCTCCTAGTAGCGTTCTTGCTACTAGTAACTAGTAGTAATGCCCTTGTTATTTTTAGCGATGCCAGGAGCGCCCCGTTCGGTTCGCGTCCTTGTGAAGCCCGTTCGGTTCTGTCCAAATCCGGGTGCGGTGCTCCATTCGCCCCAAGCCGACGAAGGTCATGGAGACATAGATGAAGGACAGCAGGATGGCAAAAGACTCGTTGACCTGTCACCGAGGACAGCCACAGCAGATTCCATGAGTCCAAAGAAAGGCTTAAGCGGCTTGGGCGAGAATGTGTTGGAGCTCACCCTACTAGCGATGGCCTCCAACCTAGCAATGGCGTCCATGAGAATCAAATGCTTTGTGGCTGTCACTTCCAACACATCGGGCCTCTGAGAAAGGACCTCCAGGACGAATAGCCAACGTGCCAGCATCCACCTGCAGCTGCCAAGGTCTCTCTGACCCCATGGTTTCACGAAGAAAACACATCATATCATATGGACAAATGATATCATATTCTAATGAGGGTCCTGTACATTGGAATCCTCCATCTCATGTTCGGCTTCAAGCCGAACATGATCCAAATAGCCGCTCATCTGGCACTTCCTCCCGTCCGATGCGTGCCTTCTCCTGCCATTTGCTTCGCCCGAACTCGGCCAGCGCTGGAACCTTCGGTACATCGCTGGCTGGACTTGGGAGAAACGTGTCGGTAACATGAAACCTGTCTAGTAAGCATCTCCACACCCAATGGCCTGGGATTGAAACAACCATTTGGAGAGTCCCTGAGGTATACGTCCCAATTCACCGCCCACTGTCTGCACACGCTGCCATTCTTTCGTAGCACACGGTATCTACCGGGCCATCCCCAAAGGATGCGTAACAGCTCCTATTGCTTCGAACATCATCGTACCAGGGAACGCATACATCTACTCCATGTTGCACCATGCCAAGGCTCCTAGACCTGTTGCAGCTTGGAGAAGGGCCAAAGAACACACAATTCTAGGTTCCGAGAAGCAACTTAGCAACACTTGTCTGGAGGTGAGAGGATCAACAAACAACATGCCTGCAATGGTTATGTCATCAATGTGGGTCTGGGCCCCCATAGGTGTCCCCAAGCAAAGGACCTAAAGACCCCCCCAAGGTGTGACTGCTTCTAGGTTGGAGGCCATCGCTATTAGAAACAATAGCAAACAGAAAAAGAAGGATGGTCGAAGACTTCGAAGATGCTATTTCTCAAGGTCTCTTCGGTCTCATGGCCTCCCCATCTTACCCGTTCCTCTTCTTCCAGACCAGCTGCCACGCGCAGAATGTAGAGCGCTGTGAGAAGGACCATCCATAGCCTTGGCGGAAATACCCCGGAACATCCGGCAGCTTCGCAGATGACCCGGCAGGTGCACGGTTCAGCTGGCGTTGGTCGACGTCTGGAAGTGAGCACCATTCAATCTCACGGACTCACCGCATTTCTGGTAACAAGAAGCTACTAGAAACAAGTGCCTTACTAGTAACAAGAAGCTAGTAGAATTAAGTTAAAATTAAACTAAATTAACTAATAGCTTCTTGTTACTACTAGTAAGGCACTTGTTACTAGCTTTTTGTCCAAAATGGAAAAGGGTTAATGTTCAAAGTAGCACAAAGAGACAGCCACCACTGCCACATCTCAGTGCAAACAAATGCTGCACTGATATGATATGATAAAACTAATTATTTCTATAATCACTTATATACTGTATACTATACTGATGTTGAACACTGATATCTCATATCCCTTAAATATGTGTTTTAGAAAAGAAAGAACTCCAGCGCCATCAGCGCCGCCCCACCGGCGCCAAGGTGCACCGGCCAGGGTCGCAGCGTCCGCCAGGGGGGCGCTGAACTTAAAACATCCACCTGACCGCCGGAGTCGAAAAAAAAGACCTAGTAGCGTCCTAGTAGCGTCCTCTGCTCCTAGTAGCGATCCCTTTGCTCCTAGTAGCGTCCTTGCCTAGTCGAAAAAAAGAAGGAACACAAGGGTAGAGATGATCAGATGATACACCCGTCTCAAGACCAATGTGTTTTATCTGATCCCTTAAAACGAAAAGGTCTCTTAGCATGTGTTCTTTCTTTCAATCAGTTTTTTGTGTTAAGAATCTGTTTGGATTTGACTGGGTTTGAATGCTTCTTGGAGTTTTTGGAAGTGCTCTAAGGCAGATTAAGGCACTATTAGAGGCGTGCCTTTGTTTTGAAGGCCATGATTGGATGTCATGGCTTCTTCATGTTATTGTTGAACTCCTCTGTCTTCCTGACTCCAAGCAACAGCAGGATCTCTCACGCGCGCAGATGAGTTGCGCATCGCCTGGTCTTGCTACGTAAGTTTAGGCTGCAAAGTGCTCGGCCTGCAGTTCTCTTGGTCAGCGAAGAGAGTTTCTCCGCGCAATGCGCTCTCGTCTCGTCTACCAATGACCTTGTCATATGCGGTGTCACCGGATCAACCAGAACATCTTGTCTCCAAGCTTTTTGATCCCCCAGTTTAGGAGCAAATTGTCTCTCCACACCACCAACTCAACCATCACAAGTTTTGATCTGATCCTCAATGGATCTCGGTCTCCGAGAAAGGCTGCAGATCCACCCATGTCAACCTTACATCCCTTATATATCCATATATTGCTCCATACTGGAGGCCATCGCTAGTAGGTTCGAGTCTGTATTGCTCTGATTCCTTGCCCAGCCGTTTCCGGAATCCCACCTGCGTGAGCTTCCCCCGGCGAAGATCCGTGAAGTCATCCCATCCGGCCATGGAGCGACGGGAGCGAGGTGCGCGGCTTCAGCATGGGCCGCGCGACTTCCAGCGGGCCGATTCTCCGGCGGAGCTGGAAGAGAACCCGTCTGAGTCGAGCTGGTTTGTGTTCCTTCTATTCTTTCGGTCTTGTTTGTTTGTGTTGCTTCTATTTGTTCTTGCGGAAGAGTCCAATTGTCGGTTCTTTTTTAAGACAATGAAACTGCATGCCACGATCTGTGGGAGTCCCTCACAAATAGCCCTATCAGTGCAAGTCGAAAGGGTCGTTTTCATGCCCATGCTACGCGGAACATGTGAGGAGCGACTCCTTTGTCAGCTGGGTTCAGGCTTTGTCAGCTGCATGCTGCTCCTTCTTGGGCATAAAAGCTGAACCGAGCCAGTCCCTTGGGCTGTTCCTGATAGATCCTACGAAACCAACAGTTGCCGCACTAGTTAGGCCAAACCCTTGTGCAAATGCACCAAACACCTCGCACTCCGAACTCTATAGATGTACCACACTGGCAACTCAGTGCTGTTCGTTCCTGCGATGTGAAAACTGAGTTAAGGTTGCGCTGGAAACGAAGCAAATGATGACACACAACCGATCAATCCACGGAAGTTCTTCCAAAAACGTACCTCAACTCATCTTCAACTCATATCCTGTAAACTCGACACCCCAAAAGCATGGGTGCATGGCTTTTGCCAGTGTTCCACCTCCTTTCCAGGCCGGTTGTGACCTGGTGTCGGTGTACCTGTTCCCCTTGCGGAAAGTGTCACCCCTGACACACCCGCCTGGAAGTGGCCCAGGTAGCGTTGGAGAACCCGTCGGTTGGACAAGTCCCACAGCCGAATGGCTGGGCCTTCCGAGAGCGCCGAGACCTCGTGGTGACGCTGTGCCGCTCCGGTGGATAGGCTGAAGCTTTGGCTTTAAACGATTTTAAACGTTGTTTCTTCCCAGGTTCCAAAAGAAAAGAGAACACGTCCTGAAACTTCGGCTCTAACACAGAATCCGTTTCCAGTGTCCTTCTCACGTTTGACACATCTTTTGGACGAAACTCGGCCAACTTCTGAGGAGCATGACATGCTGGGCCACATTGACCAGGAGCTCGTCCCGCAGCCGAGAAACACAGATCTGGGGCGTGCGGCGGCGTGCGACGGCGTGCGGCTGTTAGAAACAAGAAAGACATATATACCCGGAACGCAGGGTCAATAAAACGTGCTGTTCAGGACCGTGCTGTTCACGATGAGAAGTACTTAAATACTTTAGACATTACCCCTGAGACATGCAAGTACTTTAGAAAATTTTAGAAATCAACCCTATGTATGTTCTTCAAGTGATCCCCCAACATAATATGCATTCATAGACTAATTATCGTCCGGAACCAATGACCTGACACTTGTTGTGGCATCAAGCCTGGCATGTGTTCTGTCATTTGTCCCGACCTGCGATCTGACAATGTAATTTGACATTTGTTCTGGCATGTACGTTGACATAATTAGGTTGCGACGTCAAGTCTTGCATGTATTCCGACATATGTTCCGACATGCCATGTATTCCGACATCGAGTTATGCATTGTGTTCTGACATTTGCTCTGACATATCCCGTATTAGGCAACGGAGCCTCAAACATCCTTTTCCGCAGTGCCTAGTGCCTGTTGAATGGAGGCTTTGAATTTCAATCCAACCAGTGTTGGGCATTTTGAAAGGAAACATGTCTATCTGTGGATGCAACAATCCATCAAAGAGCTTGAGCTAAGTCGGTGAGACAAGCAAGCATACACAATACACACGCGAGACGCTCTCCCATACCTTGTCCAAGTAAAGAACATCATAGAGGAGCAGGCACGATGAAGAAGAGGCAGAGCGAGGAGGAAAGGAGGAGGAGGAAGAGGAAGAAAGTACTGACATAAAATCTAGAGACCCTCATCTGACAGGTGGCGGAAAGAAAAAAACTATAGGTTCTAGCTTTCCCATCTCAATGAACCATCAAAATCTCATTATGTCGCATATGCCCTCTTCCAGAAAACTATGCTGTCATAAATCCCAAGTATTCCGATGTGTTGGAGCTTGGAAGGCTAACGAGCATCTGTCTTTGCACCCCAAACCCTCAAAAACCACCTGGTGACCCTCTACTTCGTCACTTCACAAAACTCATCTCGGTCGTTTTCACGGAAAAGAGATGAACACTTCGATCTCTTCTCTTCCAAATGTTTTAAAGACACTGAGCTGTTTGGTCCCGGGCGGAGGTCACGGCATCGCTCTCGGGCAATGCCACCAGGGCGTTGCGGCTCTGCAGGTCGAAAACCTCGAGGAAGGGCATCGCTAACAAGAAGCTACTCCTGGCATCGCTACTAGGAGCAAGTGCCTTACTAGTAGTAACAAGTGCCTTACTAGTAGTAACAAGAAGCTACTAGGAACAAGTGCCTCGCTACTAGGAACAAGAAGCTACTTGTAACAAAGGGCATCGCTACCAAAGCCGAGGAGCGTCGGCGTCCGAACGAACGAACGAACGCGGTGACGGTCCCAAGGCATGGGTGGGGGTCCGTGGGTGGTTTTGAGATACGACTGGTTCGAAATGGAACTCTGGGCGTCGAAACACGCATTTTGACACTCAGATCTCTGTGGACTTGCCCGAGTTGCTCCATTCACAAGGAACTTGGCTCAAGTCTGAAAAAGGACGGCGTATTTTCAGGTGCTACTAGGAGGCCATCGCTATTAGGATGTGGAACCACGTCGACGTCTTGAGCGTCAAAAGCCCTCCGTGGTCCCTCTCGCCTTCACACTCTTCTCAGAGTCAACGACCAAGAGCCGTGAGCCATCTTTCGTGACGGCCTCAGCGGTCACCGTGCCATCTCGTGTGAGTCGGAGCTTCTTGCTCCTAGTAAGGCCAGGAGCCCCTAGTAGCGTCCTTGCTCCTAGTAGCGATGCCAGGAGCCCCTAGTAGCGTCCTTGTTACTAGTAGCGATGCCCTTTGTTCCTAATAGCTTCCCTGTGGTTTGCTTTCGCTTTTCAGCCTGTGGTTTCCTCCCTGCGGTTTACATCGGCGTCCTGAGACATTTTTGTGTACGTTCATAGCGATTGCCTCCAACCTAATAGCGATGGCCTCCCTCCAACCTAATAGCAATGACCTCCACCCTAAAAGCAATGGTGGCTCCAACCCAATAACGATGGCCTCCAACCTACATGTATGTTCATAATGATTTTCATCACCTACCTATGGGTTTGTGTGCGTTGCTTTGACGAGTCTTTGACAAGCTCGCCACGTCAGTCTCACAGTCAGGACATCGGTCTTCATGTCTCGCTCCGTTCAACGAGGAGTATTAGAGTTGTGACCAAGTTGAGGTGACCTGCAACCAAAGAATCTTGGCTCCTAGATGAGCACTAAACTTTGCAATCTCACTTTGGAAAACAAAGTAAACTCTTGAATCCATTGGCGTCCTCATTAACTGAAACGTCATACGTTCAATTGTACCTGTATGGCAATGCTGAGGCAAGATCAGGGCACCAAACCAAGAAGCAACGAAAAAAAGTTCTAAAAAATAAGAAGCTACTAGGAACAAGTGCATCGCTACTAGTAACAAGTGCCTTACTAGTAGTAACAAGAAGCTACTAGGAACAAGTAACAATAAGAAAGATCTTTGCAACACTTTAGCCAGTCGCATTGTTGTGAAGAAAGGGCACGGACTCGACACGAAGACGAAGATCTCTCTCTTTGCAGCAGTTGGAGGCCAAGTTCTTGCAAGAAGCAGGATGGCCTTGTTACTATTAGCTTCTTGCTCCTAGTAAGGCCAGGAGCCCCTAGTAGCGTCCTTGTTCCTAGTAGCGATGCCCTTTGCTCCTAGTAGCGTCCGAATGGCAAGTTCTTGTTCCCTCAAGGGATCGGACCAAGTCTTGGATGCGACAGCTAAGCTCCCATCGGTGCAGCCTCGGGGTTCGTCCAGTCTCTCTCTTTTTATAGAAAGCATATGGCATATATGAAAAGCAACACCCCTAGGTCTTCAAACGAGCAGAAATAAGTGCTCAACCTGCGTTTCGTAGCACTTTCTTAAGAATCGAGCACTTTCTGGATAAACGAGCAGTTTTTGTAAAACGCGCAGTTTCTTGTGTGTCCCGCGCATTTTTTCAAGGCCGCACTTCGAGCGCAAAATTCGCACACGAGCGCAAAAAAGCACACACGAGCGCACTTTGGAAAACTGCACCTGTTTTTGCTTTTCTTCATTTGCAGCTCGAGCACTTTTTTGCAAAACGAGCAGTTTACACCTCGAGCACTTATTTCTGCTCATTTGAAGATCTAGGCCTTTCTTATCATTTTGTTGTGTTCTTTAGACATCTTAAAACCATTCCTTTTTTCCTTGCTGCCGTTCTCCTATGTTCTTCCTTCCTTCTATCGATATCGAGTCGAATGCCTTTCGTTATTCTTTTTTGCCTTCTGCACGTTCAGTGCTTTGAGGCCGTCTTCGGAGGGCCGGGTCAACACGAAGAATGTCTGCTTTTGACAGGCAAATCAAGTGAACACCTAGGAGCTCCAAACGAGAATGTTGAACACACCAAGTCACGACTCAATCAGTTCAACCTAGATAGATTGAGTTCTGGACAGGGCCCCATCAATGTTCCAGAGGAAAATGCACCTGGCGCCATCAGTTGCGTCGCCATCCCGAAGCTATCGCAGACGAGTCATCTCAATACTGGACGTGTCAACACTCAGCTCGCACCAAAGCAGCATCTGTCCTGTCGCTGTCTTTTCTCTCTTGCCAACCGGCAGGCGATAGCAAGGCCCCAACGCAGACGTGAAGCATGGCGATGGTTTGAGGTCTGCATGGTCCTTGGCGTGGATGCGTCCTTGGACTTTCCAACGAGTCTTTGCTGAGCTGCATTGGCTTGAGGCGGCCTCAAAACGAGTCGCAGAGGACCCCACAGCGACAGTGCGTGAGTTGGCACTGGAGGACTATTTGGCGGTGACCCATGGGATGTGTTCTTTTTCTCCTTCAGGCCTTTTTAGACCTTTCTTCTGTCCTTCAAGTCCTTCTCTTTTTTTCCTTCCTGTCTTGAACGTTTAATTTTCAGATCTTCTCCGGACATCGCTCCTGTCTCATCGGGTTCGCTGCGCTTGGGCATCGCACATCTTCATCCCCTCGTGTTGATTTCCGGTGATTTCCTTGCGTTCTTGCCGCATTGCCCTCCAAGCGAGGTGCTTTTTTGGGAAGCTTAGCCATCCCAAGACTTGAAAAATCCTGCGAGCCGTGTGTGCGAATTCACAGCACAGAGGTCGGGCGTGCGGAAGGGCTGAGCAAAAGGCCATGCTGGAAAAGCTTCTGTACTGCACCAGCATCAAAAACCATCACCAACCTGGCTTTGGATAGTAACAACATCCAAACGGCCATGAAGAGGGCGTTGCCTTCTTCCAAAATGTTTGGAGCCTACTCGAGTGTTTTTTCAGCCGCTTTGCAGGGCATGGGCATTGCCGCAGTGCCACTTAGCATTGAACTCATCAAAATGAAAGGGTATTTTAAGACAGGATTCATACCATACCATACCAGTGCAGTTTTCAGAGTTTGCACGACTCTTTTTGCGCAAACGAATCAAAGCGAAACGGAGTCTGATGTCGACTCGTCTGAAGTCGACTAGTCTGCTTTTGGAGCCCAATTGTATCGATTAGCACTTAACATGCCGCGCACGCCTGATGCACAAATGCGATCGAATGCGTCCCGCCTGTCCAAGCTGGCCGAGACAAAGTGCGTGCTATCCGGCAGCCACGCCACCTGAAGCGCTTGCAAGAGAGACACCGCACCAGTCCAGAGGGAGGGATCCGCAGGGTAACCACTGAGTCGCAAGCCGATGTGATGGGGTCTGTGTGCTTGGAGAGGACCAAGCGAGCTTCAGTGCCTCAGATGGAAATGCTTTCGTAGCTTTCTGTAGCTACACGAGGTGTCTTTTCCAAGTCGACACCCAGTCGGGTGAGTGCCTCTTTCGTGGTTTTCGCTCACCCCTTTGGTGTCCAACTCATCCATGCCGCGTCATGAGAATGACCCGTCACCAGTGTTTTCGTGAACTTCGTGAACCTCGTATAGTCCCTGGTCTTGGATCAAACCCCTACCCCAACAAGAACCAAGCCATTTCTTGCCTCTTCCCAACGAGTTCTCAGGTTCCGTGCCTGGCAACGTCCACAAACAAATGGTGCCTCAAGACGGGGGAACTGCCGTTTCCGCGGTGATCCGGCCGTTGCTACAGCAAGACTAGTAGCAAGAAGCTACGATCGGGGCTCCTGGCATCGCTACTAGGAACAAGAAGCTACTAGGAGCAAAGGGCACCGCTACTAGTAACAAGAACGCTAATAGAGACACATATAGACAACCTGCTTGCATCTGATCCTAGAACCGGAAGTGCTTGCCACTTGCCAGAAACCTCTGTCCAAGATCTCAATCACTTCATGATTAGACGAAAGCAAACTACGGCAGGTCGCCAGGAATGCCATGTGCCGGGGTGCCAGGCAGTTTGAGGCCGAAAGCAGATTTTGATCATCGGGACTCCATGATAGTGCTGAGCACGACCTCGAACGTTTCCGACACGAAAGAAGCTGAAGCGATAGACACTCTAGCAAGTTGCCCGTCTTCTGTCTTGTCCGTAAGAAGAGAGTCTCAAGTCCTTATAAGGTCTCGAATTTCCGAATTGGTCTTTAACCTTGACGAACTAAGTGGCCAAGAGTTACCTAGACCAATAAGAGTCTTGGGTTCGACAAATCCCAACCAAAACTGCAAAGCAACTGTTACTCTGACGTACCACATGCCGGGCCATGCTAGTGCCAGTCGAATGAATGGAGAGAAAACTGAAGAGACATCATTCATGTAAAATGGCTTTGGGATTGTTGGAATTTCCCCTCTAAATCCTCTCTCTTTGTCCCTCCGCTCGAATCAATGCCCTAGCTTTCGGCCGTCGCGGCACGAAGGGTCGCCGCGGCGTTCTGTCTGTGGGTCGCCCGGCTCACTGTAGGCCATGAGCACTTCGGAGACCTTGGGCAGACGCAGTAAGGCCGGGAGCCCCTAGTAGCTTCTTGTTCCTAGTAGTAAGGCCAGGAGCCCCCAGTAGTGTCCTTGCTCCTAGTAGCGATGCCAGGAGCCCCTAGTAGCGTCCTCTTGTTTCTAGTAGCGATGCCAGGAGCCCCTTGTAGCTTCTTGTTCCTAGTAGTAAGGCCAGGAGCCCCCCAGTCATGTCCTTGCTCCTAGTAGCGATGCCAGGAGCCCCTTGTTTCTAGTAGCGATGCCAGGAGCCCCTAGTAGCTTCTTGTTCCTAGTAGTAAGGCCGGGAGCCCCTAGTAGCGTCCTTGCTCCTAGTAGCGATGCCAGGAGCCTCTAGTAGCTTCTTGTTTCTAGTAGTAATGCCAGGAGCTACTAGTAGCGTCCTTGCTCCTAGTAGCGATGCCAGGAGCCTCTAGTAGCTTCTTGTTTCTAGTAGTAATGCCAGGAGCTACTAGTAGCGTCCTTGCTCCTAGTAGCGATGCCAGGAGCCCCTAGTAGCTTCTTGTTCCTAGTAGGAATGCCAGGAGCTACCAGCAGCGTCCTTGCTCCTAGTAGCGATGCCAGGAGCCCCTAGTAGCTTCTTGTTCCTAGTAGGAATGCCAGGAGCTACTAGTATCGTCCTTGCTCCCAGTAGCGGTGCCCTTTGCTCCTAGTAGCGTCCTTGCTACTAGTAGCGATGCACCTGTTACTAGTAGTAAGGCCAGGAGCGCCCTCGTTCGTAGCGTCCGAACGCTCCGTTCGTAGCGATGCCCTTTGTTATTAGTAGTAGCTTGTTGGTACTAGTAGGGATGGCCTCCGACCTAAGAGCAAACTATGATAATGTGTTCTCACATGGTATGAATTCTTCAAAACTTATGGACAAAGCATGACTACAGCTTCAATTGAAAACTTGGGGGTGTTGGAGGAGCCTAGAAGTTAAGCAGGTGTTCTTGGTGTGTTGATTTCTGAGTTAACCAAGGACTAAGGACAACTTGGCCAATGTCCTTTCTAAAGCCTCTATGAATCGTGTTGAAAAGCCTTCACTTCAGAAATCACACAAGGACCCATTGGACACGTTGTGCATCATTACATACCATAGCCTCAATATAGCAGTGAATATAGCCGAAGCCTGTTGACAGTCAACACTGGCAAGGTGCTTGTCCCTCTTTCGCGCCTTTCTCTCAAACCAGTCAGCTGAGTCGCTTCAGCTACCGCTTTGCATGGCAGGATGCAAGCAGCATTCTACACTCAAAACACCTCTATCCGGAAACTCTGCCAGCTGCTGCTTTACATGGCAAGATGCAAGCAGCGTGCAAGCAGCACTCAGCTCAACTTCGGAAATTCACGAAATCTGCGGCGCCTGCAACATGGGGCCAACGCCTTGACGTTTCCGAAGTCGAGGGCATTAAACATTGCCCACCGTCGGCAGTCCAGGCTCGTTGCACGACTGGAAACTGCCTACATCCGGTATGTCGCAAGAAACTCCTGGGGCAGAGGGTGCCCCTCAAAAGGCTACGGCCTTCAGGTTTATGTTTCACAGCCTGGTGCGTACTTTGAGTCTTGGCTTCTGTCCTGAAGACCGGCATTCTTTGGATTGGTAAGGGGAGCATCAGGTTTGGTGGATGCGCCAAAAAATGACCGTGCAGCACGCAAAAGCGCGCTGCGATCATTCACCAGAGCTCATCCTTGGCATCTGAGAGCCTTTCGAGATCAGTGTGACTGCTTCTCTTTTTGCTTCCTGTGAAGGATATGGAGTGGGGCATTCCCAATTGAAGGACATGCTTCCGCCTCAAAAGGATGGGTGTGCTTCGAGAACTCTGTTTCCATGCTGTTCGGATTTGCAGGTCGAATCCATCAAATCGGCTGCTCCTGAACGCTACGACCACCTTTCAGAAACGAACTCAACTGAAGCATGCTTCTTGTTCCTAGTAGCGATGCCCATTGCTAGTAGCGATGTCAGGAGCCCCTAGTAGCGTCCTGGCTCCTAGTAGCGATGGCCTCCAACCTCAACGCTGGCGCCTCGCAGCTTCACACTCCGTTGACCATGTTTGCTGGGACCGCTTCCTGAGAAAATGGGTCGGGCGCACCCGCGAGTCGAAGCTGACATCTCGCACGAAGCTGCTGGCCCTTCAAACCTTCTTTATCCTTCTTTGGATCTGATAAAGACTTCTTCAAAAGACTTCTTCTTCTTCTCCTTCTTCTTCGCCTTCTTCTCTTGCAAACATCTGACAAGTCTGACACCCAAATGCTGGCCCGAGGGCGTCCATCATCCTGGGATATGGCAGGTTCAGCTCCTTCATAATGGTGAGGAACTCATCCTGAAGTATGCTTCTTGTTACTAGTAGCTTCTTGTTCCTAGTAGTAAGGCCAGGAGCTACTAGTAGCATCCTTGCTCCTAGTAGCGATGCCAGTAACCCCCAGTAGCTTCTTGTTACTAGTAGCGATGGCCTCCAACCTTAGTAGCTTCTTGTTGCTATCTGGAAGCGTTTTTCGTGTTCCACAACTCGACTCCGTGGCGCGGTGGAGCTCCAAAATACTTGCCTATACTTGCTGGGGGGTATTCGGTGTTTGAGTATCGGTTTTGGAGAAGCTCTGCCTTGTCCTTGGTTAGTCTTGGATTAAACTTCTTCTCCTCTGCCACAGTCGACACATTTCCTCAGCTCAGAACGTTTGCATCTGCAAACGCTTGCATCCAATTCAAACCCCGTGGATTCCGATGAATCATCCACGCGGCCAGGCATCGCCGCACGTATAACCCTTTTTGGTCCCTGAAAAAGCAGCCCTGGACCGAAGGACTTTCCCGCCTTTCCAGGCACAAGAAGGCCACCAGAGCCTTTCCGAAGTCCACGGAAAAAGTACTGAGCCCTTCGATATTTAGGTTGGAGGCCATCGGTTGGGAGGCAGAGCGGCCTTTCAAGAAGTCCTCCACACGCTTCGGAAGCCAAGCTTCTTCCGTTGTAGTCGTGACCTACCAGGTGTCCGGGCTCAGGGTCTGTGGAACTCCTACTTCTGCCAACCTGTGCCACTCCTTCCTTCCAGCTTGATTTGCACCAGGCAACATGCACAAAGCCTGAAGATCTGGCCACAGAGAAGGACTCTTCATAGTAGCTTCTTGTTCCTGTCTTGTTTTTGTCCTTCAGATGTTGTTGCTAGTAGCGATGCCAGGAGCCCCTAGTAGCGTTCTTGCTCCTAGTAGCGATGCCCTTTGCTCCTAGTTTCTTCTGATAATTCTGATTCCAATTTTTCTCTGCCTGGATAGATCTTGGTATCCTCCGGCAGGGAGAAGATCTTCTGGTGGACGCTCTCGTAGAGGGCGGAGGCATTGCCCTGGCGCGCCACACGACGTCACGGCTCCGCTGTTTCGCGGTTTCTCGGTGATACACCTGTTTCTCGGTTGATACACCTGAACTCCTGGCAACCCAAAAAGAGCATCGAAATCAACGAAGCCTCGACCCTCAATGGTCTAATTTGGCAGTTGCAAAAATATATAGCACAACACACACAAAAAAAACAAGAGCAGAAATGATCAAGAAACAAGAAGCTAGTAGTAACAAGTGCCACGCTAGTAGTAACAGGTGCCTTACTAGTAGTAACAAGAAGCAATTAGAAACAAGAAATGATCAAAAGTTCCAAGAGATTTACTTCGGTTTTGTAATAAGACCTGATTTTGTTGGGGCATGAGCGAAGACCTGCAACGCTACCGTTCTTGGTTCAGGTCTTCCGAACGACTCCACTCGTTCGCCTGCTGAAAATCCGTTCGCCCACACCCGCGGATCAGCAAGGTGTCGCCTGAAGTCGAAGGAGGTCTTATGAAAGGGAAGGAAGTATAAGGACTAAACGAAGAAAAAAGAAAGCAAACAGAAAATCAATAAATCGCCAGAAATTGCAAGATTTGAAGTTATTTGAAAACAAAAAAAGTAACTCTAAAAACATGAAAACAAACCCTTCCTCATCCGAGACGACAAAGCGACAAAGCCCGAACGTGGCCACGTGCCTGTGAAGGCGGCCTTGGGTTCACCTGGACCTTCCAAAACGAAAGTCATGCCTGAGAAGGCTGTTCTCGAAGGCTCGAAACATCTTGAAAGATCGAATGGTCCGTTGAATTCTGAATAAAGCCAGCACTCCGGATCGACTGCTTCTACTGCTTCTAGGTTGGAGGCAATCGCTACTAGGGTGGACGCGATCGCTACTAGATTGGACGCGATCGCTACTAGGGTGGAGGCCAATCATAAGAGTACCTTTGGATGTCCAACCGCCGACCGCATGGATCACATAAATCTGTCTGATTATGTCTGATTGGTGCCAAAGTGCAGCCATCCGTGTGTCCAGGCGTGGCCACACACTTTAAGACCTGGCGGAAAAATGAAAGAAAAACGTGCCGTGGCCGTGGCCGGAAGCGATTTGAAAAAACAAACATCACACAGAATCCACCGGACGTGTACTTGATGTTCTGAATGTTTGACATGTTTCGCAATATCCATGCGCAATGTGAGGGGCACCCATAGCACCCAGGAACTCGCATGAAGATTCAATGAAGATAGGTCAATAGAATGCTTGACATCTGTTCTGAGGAGGAGTGCCTCAAAAATCACAATCCCAACGAAGCTTTCCTGGAGATCTAATGACCCTTGACAGGCCACCCGTGATCCTGAAGAAACTGTTCCCCTCATCCTGTACATGTGTCTAAATGCTTTTTGACAACTGTGCCAAGAGGGCATCTCTTTTCCAAGCTAAGAGCTTTGGCCTCCAACCTAGTAACATTCGATCGCTCCTAAGAGCGAATGATTTACCGTATAAAGAAAACAGTAGCTGTACTTGTTCCCAGTAGCGATGCCAGGAGCCCCTAGTAGCGTCCTTGCTCCTAGTAGCGATGCCAGGAGCCCCTAGTAGCGTCCGATCGCTCCTACTAGTAAGGCACTTGTTTCTACTAGCTTCTTGTTATTACTAGTAAGGCACTTGCTCCTAGTAGCGATGCCAGGAGCCCCTAGTAGCGTCCGATCGCTCCTACTAGTAAGGCACTTGTTTCTACTAGCTTCTTGTTATTACTAGTAAGGCACTTGCTCCTAGTAGCGATGCCCTTTGCTCCGTTCGTAGCTTTCCCACTTTTCACCTCCGAGGCACGTAGCGGCCGACGGTGATCTGGTCGCCGTCTGAGACCTTCACGTCCGCCTTGGCCCCGGACGCGGCGGAGATCACCGTCTTCACCTCGGCCGAACGGCGACGGGTTTCGGGGGGGGGCCGTTGGAGCGCCCTGTTCGTAGCGTCCGAACGCTCCGTTCGTAGCGACGCCCGGGTTCCTAGTAGCGATGCCAGGAGCTACAGTAGCTTCTTGTTACTAGTAGCCGTTGGAGGGAGGTTTGGAAAGAGAGGACTTAGGGGGTGAATAGGGAAGTGAGATCAAAAAGCTGCTCTAAGTACACCTTGACAGCTGCAGGAATGGCCCTGGATGTTCAAAGTCAAAAAACCTAGCTAGCTTAATGGTTTCAGTTAATGACCTTGCTCTTACAATACATAATAGCTCTCGCCGTTTGAAAGGCTTGGATTAAGCGCTCGCAAAACGCGGAAGTGCTCGTCCAAACGCGCATCGCACGCATTCGCACGTGCCGCACCTCTGGGTGAATCTGCTGGATCTTCCCGCCCGAGGTGATGTGATCTGCGTGGCAGTGAGTGTTCACCACATGGGTCACCTGGCACAACTCGGTCGCCACGGTGGAGCCCTGTCTTTTCCCCGTTCGGTTCGCGTCGTAAGCGTCCGAATGCTCCTAGTAGCGACACCCTGGGCCCCTAGTAGCGTCCTTGTTACTACTAGTAAGGCACTTGTTACTACTAGCTTCTTGTTATTACTAGTAAGGCACCTGTTACTAGTAGCGATGCCCTTTGCTCCTAGTAGCTTCTTGCTCCTAGTGGCGAACGTCGTCTTTTTCCACTTCTTTGCGGGTCAATCTTCCCGTCCGATTCTCCGGGTGGACCCCCCCCCCCGGCCGTTCGCTCGAAACCGGCGCCGGACGTCACTCATTATGTGCCAAATGGATGGTCTCGGGGAGGAAGCAGCACGTCGTCCGTCATGCGGAAAGCTCAGTGCTCTTGATGAAAGATAAAGGTCTTCACGTCCTCAATCGCTCTCTTGCAAAGCTGCTTGGCATCTTTGCTGATCTTCTTGTCCGGCACTGGGATGAAGGTAGAGCCATCAGAATTGCCAAACCACATCCACTCCAACTCCACAAAGGGATGGCAACCCAGGTTGCCTACCACCAGTGAGTGTTCTGGGGTCTGTATAGCAATTACCTGACCAAGCAAATTGATGCAACTTGGCAATCATGGTCTTGGGAAATCACCCTGAATCACTCCTGAACAAAAAAGGATGACAGAACAGCACGGAAACCTTTGGTCTTGTACTGAAGTACTGTACCCCTTACTACTAATTGAATGCTCTTGCAAGAAGACAACTCAGAGGCCACAGCTCCCCACTCATCCAAAACGAAACAGCTCAGAGAAGGCACGTAGTCTTCTGGATCCTCGTGCGCAATGGAACACCTCATCTCAAAGCCACCAGGCGCTGTTAAGCCATTCTCATCTTCCCTCCATTCCGCCCCATCCACGGCGCTTTCCAACTCCTTCAAGGTCTTTTCCAATTTCGACCGGTCCAAGCTCTCGGCTTCATCGTCCACATAGCGGGTCTGCTTGGCTTTCAAATATCTGTCGCCATCCCCCGGCCATTCGCTCCACTGGATGGGGAACTTCGCTCCCGTCGCGCGGGTGGCGGGCCGCTTGGCCGAGCCCAGAGCCGACGCGGGCCGCTTGCGCGGGGGCATGGGACGGTTTGGTTGGGCGCGCTTGCGTCGTTCGGCGTCCAAAAGGTGCTTCGCCCACATCGATGGATTCGAAGATCGAAACATGATCAAGTAGCTTCTTGTTACTATAGTAGCGTCCTTGCTCCTAGTAGCGAGGCCAGGAGCCCCTAGTAGCGTCCTTGCTCCTAGTACGTGATCAAATGGCCGGGAATATCTTGAAATCATTGGAACCCATCAGTGAGACGCACGACTTGACAGGTTTCAAGGTCCTGTTTTGATATGTCTAGGGTTCCAGGTCCTCAACACCTCTGAACCCTCCCGCTTCCACCGTTTCACTGAAACATGGTGTGAAGAAAACCTCTCTGGCCTCAAAAGTCCCTTATCCTCCATCAACGGGTGAATCGGGGTGATTCCTATCGCTGTGGTAGATCATCCGGCTGCTTTCAGTCGCTGGCGCAGCGGTCTTCCCTTCTTCTCGTCTCCCGCCTTGAAACCCAACTCATCCGCCAAGGCCAGGTCCCTTGTCTCAAGGCCAAGAACCTCGTCATTCCCCAGATGCGGGACAGTCTAAGCCATTTGTTCAAAGTGCCAACCCAAACAAAATGCATGACAAGGCTCAGCAGAATCGTTTATTCCGAATAACATCTTTGGAGGTGTTGTGGCTATGTGCCTTTAGGAAAACCGTTTCCGAACGCCAAGAAACGGGGTCGATCAAGATTGCCTCCTGACTCTGCGTGCAGCCCACCAAGTACGTGAAAGTAGAGCTGCCCTGGGAGAGTTTCAACGATGCCACTGCTGTGCTGATCAAACAAGTGTTTTTACAGTCATGGTAACTTGGCAGGGAAGAACTTCTCTTAAAGGTAAGAGTCTGCATGTGTGTTCAAGAAAAGTGACGGATTTCAGTACCGAACAAGTTTAGCAACCTTGGGGGCTGGTTGAGGCGAACACTAAAATATCAAAACCTACTAGCGATGGCCTCCAACCTAGTAGCGATGGCCTCCTGCCAGTTCTTTTCCCGAAACCAAGTTGACGGATCTTTGTGAAATTCGAATGCCCTCCTGGTGAGCATCAAAGAGCTGCTCGATGACGAAGCCAGGGTTCCTCACTTCCGAGACCTGCGCCTCTCACAAAGACGGACCACTGGCGAGATGAGACCAAAACATGATCAATTAATTGCTTTGTGCGTTGCGGGAAAACTGCTTTGAAATTAGTGACTTGTCTTGAAACTGATCATCACATATCAATATCTCTATATGTATAATATATTAATCAACATTATGATATTATAGGCGCTTGCCTCATCATTGTCAGCCGGCAGCTGTTGCAAGACCCAATCTCGCACAGGCCCACACCTTCGCTCTGGCAGACAAAAACAGCATGTCTGAAGAGACCAAGGCTTTCGGAAAGACAGCTATATTTTTTTCACTGAACTGACTTGAAAGGACATCACCCTGCTCCGCAAGTCCTTGCATTCGTTCCAGGAAGCAAACACTCCCCAACGAACACATGTGTTTTTGTAAATTTGCTGCACAAACACTCCCCAAACACCCCATGTCCCACTCCCCATGTCCCTGTCTGCCAGGCCACTCGGAGCAGCGGGTGAAGAACTTCAGGTCCAAGTCTTCGGCCAACAAACTTGCCGAGGCCCTGGCGTCGGTTTCGCTTGAGGCCCTGGCCTAGTAAGGAAGATGGCGCCAAGTCCGGAAGACGGTCCGGGAAGGTCAAATAGCTTTTTGTTACTACAGGAAGTTCGGAAGTAGGATGAAATGAACCTAGAAGCGATGGCCTCCAACCTAATAGCGTCCTAGTGGCGTCCTCTTGCTCCTAGTAGCGATGCACCTGTTACTAGTAGCTTCTTGTTACTACTAGTAAGTAAGGCACTTGTTACTACTAGCGTGGCACCTGTTCCTAGTAGCGATGCACCTGTTTTCTCCTTTCGTTCGTCCAAAGAGTCCATCTCGCCTGTTGTGGCCCAAGGCTTTTGCCTGGACAGAGTGGAGGACCGACAAATCAAACGCTTCGAAAGCGCTTTTCGACTGATGAAAACGCTCAGCTTGCGAGAAAACGAAGGGGGAAGTGAAGCGAGTGAAGCGTTAAGCCAAGACCTAGAAGCGGCCTCCAACCTACGATGGCCTCCAAGATCTAAGGCCGCTAAGGCCTTTGGAGAGGAAAGGTGAAGCTCTTGGCATCTTACCCCTGTCTGTAGCGCGCAGTTGAGACTATGGATAGATGCAACCCTCAAAGGTGCACACCCCAAACCCTGTGACAATCTGTCCCAAACAGGATTGGCCGCTTTGACAGCCCTTCTGAAGCCTCTTCGTTTACTGAAGACTCGTGTGATGCGTTCAGAGCACGATCATCACGACGGACAAAGCGCTCCCAGAATCGGTAGGAACCTGTGCGAGAAGGAGTGCAGCGCCCGCTCGGTTTCCAGAGGTGCATTGCAGCATCCTGGTCTTCCGGAAATTCGACAAAAGCAGAGAGGAATCTCTTCCGAATCTGCACCGCTTCGAAAAAAACAACCCTGTTATTATGTATTTTGGAGAAAAATAATAACATCCAGAAACCCATGCAAGTTGGAATCTTCGGCAAAAAAGCCACTCTGCGCACCAAATTTGCCCAGCGACAATGGGCGTGGGAGCTTCTCGATGGCAGCTAAGACCTGGGACGCTGAATCCGTCTCTTCGTCTTCGCCAAATGTCCAGTCAAAAATATCTCATTCTTTATGGGTGGAGGTGTTCCAACAGTACGGTTGAACAGTAGTTCTTTGCAAATACTGCTTCCTTTAGCCCTGCAAAGGCATCTCTCCCGCACCGACTCACCCTCAAAAAAAACAAGACCTGAGATCTGAATCCCGGCACCTTTTCGCACGAGGCAAAATCACAGGCACCAATTCCAACAAAGTTCGATCTTGTGGATGTCTCTGTACAATAATGAGCTATCCCGGCTATCCCTGTGGATGTCTCTTGTGCAGTTTCTGTACATCCTGAGTGTCTTCTTTCGCTCTTTTTAAGCTGTTGTCGCCCTGCCAAGCAAGCAACAGTCAAAAGGCGAAGGGGTCCAACACGGCGCTGAGACGTGAGGACTAAGCGCCACCCAGTCGAGCCATGTCCATTTTCGCCACCACCTGGGTGGATTCCTTGCCCTCGTGCCAGAAATGGGGTGCGTGACCTGGATGCCGATCCTCTTGAGCCAAGAGCACCTGGACCATCTTGAGCCAATCACGTCCGGTCTTCCATCTGAAAAAGAATGAATGAATAAAACATAGTAAAACAAATTACGAATAGCGATGGCCTCCAACCTAAGAGCCATGGTCTCCAACTCAATAGCGATGGCCTCCAACCTAAGAGCGATGGC